CTATGTTATACTGTCTTTTTTTTTTATGAACAATGTAGGTGTCGCCATCAAGCAAAAGCTTTCTTCCTTCTCGTGTCGCCGATATGACGTCCATGATGTGTAAATGGTAACAATATATAATATATTTTAAATAAAATAATCATTTAAATTATTTTAATATTTCATAAAAACTATTTCGTTTAGTGTCAAATAACTAGAAACCCGGAGAAAGTGGATTGACAAATATGGGGTTCCTACTAATTATTACAGTAAATGAATATAAATATATGTATCACATTACGAATAAGAGTGTGTCTCTATATTTTCGGCCAAATGTCCGCCGGCCAAATGTCCGTCGGTCAAATTTCTGTCGGTCAAAAGTCCGTCGGCCAAATGTCCGTCGGTTAAATGCTCGTCGGTCAAATGTCCGTCGGCCAAATGTCCGTCGGTCAAATGCCCATCGGCCAAATGTCCGTCGGTCAAATGAATGTCCGTCAGTCAAATGTCCATCAGCCAAATATCCGTCGGTCAAATGTCCATCGCCCAATGTCTGTCGGTCAAATGTCCGTCGGTCAAATGTCCGTCGGTCAAATGTCCATCAGCCAAATGTTCGTCGGTCAAATGTCCGTCAGTCAAATGTCCATCGGCCATATGTCCGTCAGTCAAATGTCCATCAGCCAAATATCCGTCGGTCAAATGTCCATCGCCCAATGTCTGTCGGTCAAATGTCCGTCGGTCAAATGTCCGTCGGTCAAATGTCCATCAGCCAAATGTTCGTCAGTCAAATGTCCATCGGCCATATGTCCGTCAGTCAAATGTCCATCAGCCAAATATCCGTCGGTCAAAAGTCCATCGCCCAATGTCTGTCGGTCAAATGTCCGTCAGTCAAATGTCCATCAGCCAAATATCCGTCGGTCGAATGTCCATCGCCCAATGTCTGTCGGTCAAATGTCCGTCGGTCAAATGTCCATCAGCCAAATGTCCGTCAGTCAAATATCCATCGGCCATATGTCCGTCAGTCAAATGTCCATCAGCCAAATGTCCGTCAGTCAAATATCCATCGGCCAAATGTCCGTCGGTCAACTATCCATCGGCCAAATATCCGTCAATCAAATATCCATCGGCCAAATGTCCGTCGGTCAAATATCCATCGGCCAAATTTCCGTCAGTCAAATATCCATCGGCCAAATGTCCGTCGGTCAAATGTCCGATTACCGTAATCCAGGTGTGTTGGTCTCATTTTCTTTTCTAAAATTAGAAAATTTTGGTTTTAATAACTGTTTTCCGAACTAAAGTACCATTTCGGGTACTTTTCTGTTAATACCAGCTTCTGATAGACTCGTTGAACAGATAATGTGCTAGTCGATCCCTTAAAGAAATACAAAAACTTTACAAGTACAGCTCATACCATATGAATTGCTTTTTCTATGAAAAATTTGTATGATCTTAGATTGTTATATTTTTACTTCTTTTTCAAAAAATATTCAGTAAAAATGACATAATGCCATTTCCGACCTTAGGTCTCAGTTTGGGACTCGGAAGGAAATGAGCATATGAAATGAAAGGAGATAATAATAATAATAATAATAATAATTTTTATTATTATTATTATTATTATTATTATTACTACTAAATACCAAGCTAAACTCAAAAAACAGAATATCAGCCATAAACACATTGACTGTCCCTGTGGTGCAATACAGCTTTAATATCCTTAACTGAACCATAGCTGAAATTAATCGAATGGACACCAAAACGAGAAAGCTTCTCACTTGCTACCGCATGCATAATCCCAAAGCTGATGTTGATCGTCTGTATGTGCCCAGATCCGAAGGAGGCAGAGGATTAGTTCAACTAGAACTGTCCTACAAAACTACAACAATAGGCCTCCAAAGATACTTGGAAACTACAGAAGACAGGATGATGGTATGCGTCGAAGTAGTAAGCGTCTTTACTTTGTAATAAAAGAAGCCAACAAATTCAAAATGGAGTTTCAAATGGGCGCAGAAATGCAAGTATAGCACAATACACCGGCTGAAACTGCAAAATACTTAAAAAGGCAGCAAAGACAAATGTAACAGACCAGATACAGAAGCGATGGCAAGATAAACCGCTTCATGGCCAATACTCTGCCCGTACCAAACAAGCTGACGTAGACAAAACCCGTACCCATCAGTGGCTACGTAATGCAGGGTTGAAACCTGAAACTGAAGGTTATATCCTTGCTGCACATGACCAATGCTTGTTAACTAGGAATTATCAAGCACATATACTAAAATATTGTGTTAGCCCAAAATGCAGATTCTGTGATAAATATCCAGAAACAATTGATCATCTTGTATCAGGTTGTACGGTGTTGGCACCCACTGAATATAAAACCCGACATGACAGAGTGGGCCAATATCTGCACTGGTAAATTTGCAACTTCTACGGGAAGGAAACTGAAAGAAACTGGTATGAACGCCACCCAGACCCGGTTACGGAGATAGGACCCGTTATAATTCTTTGGGACTATAAAATACGCACTGACAGACATTGTTATTAAATACCATAAACAAAAAAGTGCCTCCTTATTGATATGGAAGTCCCTGCAGACTGCAATGTATCTTTGAAGATATTCAAAAAGCTGTCAAAATACAAGGACCTTGAAATAGAAATCTCAAAAATGTGGCATATGTGAACATCAACAATCCCTGTTGTAGTTGGAGCCCTAAGATTGGTTGTAAAAGATTCCAGTAGACTAATTGAAGGGATTCCTGGAAATCCATGCATCAAAGAGGTTCAAAAAATTGTTCTGACAAGTACAACCCACACTTTACGAAGGACTTTATCTATGTAATTTTTTTTTTTTTTTTTTTGTCATGGAAAGTGTCATGATGCCATTTCTCATCTTAGGTCCATGGGTGGGACCCAGAAAGAAATGTGTAAACGCCAGAAATCAAAGGAAATAAAAATAATAATAATATCAACACCACCTAGATCCGATTATGGAGATAGAATATATAAAAGTTTTATAGGACTTCACAATATACACAATCAAAAGAACAATCAACAGAACAAGTAAAGCTAATCTCCCAGACATCGTGATTAGAGACCGCAAAGACAAAAGGTACCTCCTTATTGATATTGCGGTCCCTGCAAACTTCAATGTATCTTTGAAGATACAAAAAACTATCAAAATACAAAAACCTTGAAATCGAAATCTCAAAATGGGGCACATGAGATGATCAACAATTCCCGTTGTAATTGGAACCCTCACATTGATTAGAAAAGATTCCAATAGACTAATTGGAGGGATTTTGGAAGCCCATGCCTTAAAGAAATACAAAAAAAAATTGTTCTCACGAGTACAGCCTACACCTTACAAAAGGTTTTATCTATGTAAAATATGAGTGATCTTTTCAGCTTTTTTTTTTTTTTTTTTTTTTAATTGCTTAGTGGAAAATTTGATGATGCCATTTCTGACCTTATGTCTCTGGTCGGGACCCGAGAGGAAGTGATCAGACACCAGAAATCAAAGGAAATAAAGTATAATAATAATAATAATAATAATAATAATTAAAAAATAGGACATTTTCAACATTTAGAAAAATCAAAAATAGACATTTATAAAGTCTTATAATAATTTTTTTTTGTTCAAATAATTTCTAAGTTCAGACTGAAATAAGTTTTAACAGATTTATGTTAATTAAGATACCAGATCAGGAATGATAAATCTGCTGACATTTCTTTTTTTGAATTTTACGAAATATTTATATATATATATATATATATATATATATATATATATATATATATATATATATATATTAGTATAGTCCCATACCAGATATGGCAGTTATATTTAATGCACGCATGAATGGGGGATTTATACATGTACAAGATGGTTTCTGCCAAACAATTTTTCCTGAATGAATCCATCTTCAGTTACTTTCCCACTACATTGACCTGGTTTTGTTCTGTATTTTTCTATAAATATCTTCATGGGAGTTGTCCTAACGAGTTCTCTTCCTTGATACCTCGAACGCATGAATTTAAGCGTACTATTAAGATTGACTACTAGGTCTAAAATTTTTTACTGTTGAAATAGATCTGCATGTTCTATTCTAATAGTTTCTTTTCTCGCACATCTCATTCGAGGAACTTTTCCTGGTATCTTGCTCCCCTTGAACCTACAATATTCAAAAATTTAAATGAGATAACAATCGTCATCTTTTGTTTTTTCTGAATCCTGTTCTTTTATTGTCCTTTCTCTTCACTAATGTCTCTATCATTCCCATTCCCTCCAAGTAGTCCCTTGCATCTTACAGGCATTATCATCTTGCTCGAGTGAAATGATTAAAAAATGATACATATTTAAGATTAAAAATAAAAAAAAATTAAGACAGAACATTTATTTTCAGTCTGTGCGTTTTATTTGTCGCTTTTGAACGAACGGACAAGAAATTTATTGAGTGATTAGAAATTCATTTTTCTCTTAAATAATTTTGGCATTTAAGCAAGTTGACGACTCTTGTTGCTCTTCCATTTAATCTTCTTTTTTTCAAGTAAATCTTCTTAGAAAATAGGCAGCAGAATTTCTTTTGTAGACTTTTCTACGATTAAATATTTGTATACGACTTCGTACTGTGGAGTTATAGATTGAAAAATCGGAGAGCCGAGTTCAAATTCCAGTTGAATCCATTACATTAACTTACGCGCTAATATCCTTGGAGTAAGGTATGAATTCTTCTCCCTCCAGCTATGGGTAAATAGCAGGACAGACCGGGTTCTATAGCATTGGATGGCAACTGGTCTACTGCAAAAAGAAATGGCAACCTACATCGGGGAAAAAATCTGCCTCGTCAGTCATGTATCGAAAGATACATGATCGCCTAAGCGTGTACAACTCACGGCACATAAGTGACTGATTCGACCTCCCTTTTGAAACTAAGTTCGATATTTTAACTGTTAGAATTTGAAATAATTCAAATTTTATAAAACAAGACTTAAGGATATATCACAAAAAAACAGCAGGTTTACAGCCACATCACGTTAAAACACCACTTCCTGTACGAACACCGAAGTTAAGCAATGTCGAGCCAGGTCAGTACTAGATGGGTGTGCGCTTAGGAATATCAGATGCTGTAAGCTTGAGTGTGCGGGTGGTATAATGAATAATGGTTCGGAATTGTTAATCGGAGAGCCGAGTTCTAATTCCAGCTGGGCTCGTTATATTCACTTACGCGCAAATACCTATGGAGAAAGGTGCGAATCCACCTCTTATCCCCCAACTATGGGTTAATTAGTAAAACTTTTATCACTACATCATTATTATCTAAAAAAAAAATCTTAAAATCTAAAAATATTTTTGGCTTGAAATAATCTGCAAATAGTTGATAAACCGTAGAAAAGGAATGAGTCAAATCTAAAAGATGCATGCGTATATCCCGAAATATTTTACTGGCAAGATTCTAGTACCTTCATACCTTTAAGTACCTTTATACAAGATTCAAAATTCAACTAATAAGGCTCGGGAAGCGCTCAAGGTAGAGCATTAGTTAAAATGGTCATGATGAATGAGATGGGCGATATGAATGAAAGGTGATGTGCTAGGAAGTGAATATTATGAGAATAAGGAAGATAGATAACGATTAATCGTTGACTTAATTAGGCTAAGATTGTAGTGTTTAAGGAAGCACAGACGTGAGAGTTTTCTTTTCCTATAGTTCTTGCGAAAGAGCTGTCTGTGCGGGGAATAAGCCTGACATGAAGTAAAGGATCAAGTTGTTGAAACTGAAGAACTGAGCTCATCTAAACATTTGCCAGCGACAGTATAGCGACAGGGTTACGGCGTTGGACCTGTAGAAAAGAGGCTGAAAAATAGAGAATAAGTCTTCCTCCATCAACCCGCGTAAACGATTCTGAACTCCGTTAAAGCTGAAAACTTGGACGGAACTGTTTCTGACTATATATATGCCAGCAAGAATCTATTATTTGCCTAACGACTCTTAAAGGGTAGAAGGAGTCAAGTACTTCTTGGAGTAATAAAATGAGCCGACCAATTTTCTTTTACCAGCACCTTTAGATTGTTTAAATGGTTTCCACTTGAGGTTAGGAGTGAACATGAGACCCAATTGACATTCAAATCATGAATTTCGACTGGGAATGGAGTAGTCAAACTTGACTGAAGAAAACTCCTCGACTGCTTCAATAGTCGGGGGGACCTAAGAGCAGAAGAAACATACAACCTTCTCCAGGATGACCGGTTGGCAGTGGCTCTCAGGAGTTCTGGCATTGTCATGCCTCCGCTTGTGTCAACCATCAAAAACATGTTGGTCTTGCAGAGGCTGTTATGTCGCCTGACGTAACCAAGCCATGCGATCTGCCGACGCTGAATGATGACGATGAAAGAGACCTGTCAGCCCACAAGACTTGTGACCCTTTTCTACACATAGTCACTCGTTTTGTGTCCCCAGTAGGAGATGCGGGGCAGCTTTCTCAAGCATTTATTCTCGAACATCTGGATCCGTTTTCCTGGTTCAACGAAGAGAGTCCACGTCTCACACCAAAAGAGGAGGATACGATCAGCGATTTTTAGAGATTGAACTTGGTTTGGAAACTGATGTTGCTTTTCTGTATTCTTTCTAGTCTAAACATCCCTGCTGTAGCTGTGGCTCTGGCGTTTCGTGTGTGAATTTATATGATGCAGGTGACATCTCTTGACAGGGCTGCTCAAAAGTACTTCAAGCTGGACCCTTCCTACAATGGTTAGCCGTCCGTGGTGTCGTTGGCACTGGCGTTGCATGTGTTATTCACCATTACTTTCGATAAAGGATACTAAATGGATATAAGATAAGAATTATTCTATTATGATGAATCTTGTACAGAAAGAAAATTAATTGATTTTAGGTGTACCCTTTTGAGACATAAATGTATTAGCGCCTTCCTGCACAAGTTAGTATCCGTAGATATATTCAAATGTGAAGCAAAATACCTAAACTTGAAGATTAACTTTAAAAAGGTTAGCATGATTGCAATAATGTCCCACATGACCTTAAATCTCAGTGACAGTAATAAAATTTTTTAAGACTTGAAAACACTTTCTTAAATTTCTCTAAACCTGTAGCGTAACAGAACTTAGTTTTTTGCTCAGGAGTCAACTATGATTTAAGCACTTGTCATTAGCTAAGAAATGCATCACGTGACAATCTGGCGAGCGACGTTAGTCTCCTTATTATTTGGTGCCAATTTATCAGAATGACAGATCGTTTACTCGAGACCTTCAATTTCCCTATTTCCTTTGATCAACAGAGACCTGAAAAGGTCGGAAGACACAAGGCTGGAATCTTTTGATAATAGCAAAAAAAAAAAAAATTAGGAAATTTGTCTGATTACAAATAATACATTAGATCATTGCAAAAAATCGTGCCTGATTTTTATTATTAATATATAATAACCGTAATTTAACGCTGGTGTGTGTTTGGTGCTGATATCGGGTACGCTCTAGATTGAAAATTTGTATTGTTAACTTGCGAGTCAGACGCTGTTTAATGTTGGTGTTTTATCTATAAATGAAGGCCTTAAAAGTGGATGGGGAAAAAGTTGCACTTTCGCTATAATGTGCTCTATTAATTTCGCAATTTGCAGCAAATGAATTTCAGATTTACTTGGATCGTTCTCCAGTTCTTCGGATGTTCAAAAAGGGAATGGCAGATTGCGCAAGAGTAATTTTAAACCTAAAACATCGCCTACACCCCGAGTAACATTCTGACATCGATGAAGATGCTCCGCTTGCTATCGTGGAGAATGAACAGAATATTTAGACGAAAAACATTGCTAAGAGTTTGAAAATCGATATCGTACTTGTTTTCGCCATTTAGAGAGACTTGGATTCAAGAAACATGGCCGATTTGGTCAAATCGAAAATAGCAATAGCGCATGTTGCAAAACAGACCTTGCAAATGCTTAATGAATCGAAATCAGAAACAACAATCATATTCTCCTGAAGTGGCCCCTTCTGATTTTCATTTGTTCGGGTCTCCACAGCACGGGTCTTTACAGCTCGGATTGAGGAACCGGAGAGCCGAGTTCGAGTTCCAGTCGAATCCATAATATTAACTTAATTTAATTTAGGATTTACCGGACGTTAAGCCGAGCTGCGCTACTGACAAGGTATTCCCTGAAAGGGTTAATTATCTTTGGTTTGACTTTTACTTCTTTGTTCTTGTTAAGTATTTATTTGTGGTTGTAAACATTTGAAGAGTTGTGTTATCAAGGGGAATGAACGGAAACTGACGTATTCAAAGATATGGGACGTGAAATTAGAACCATCTATCACCGTTGACTAAATAAAGGGTTCGATACGAAATTCCAAGAAATATCACCAGAAGAAGGCCGGAGCGTACAACGGCCGAACGGTCAGGAATATGGTTATAAAGATGAAGACAACAGTTCGAACAATGTAAATAGTTACAATACTCAGAAATATAGACAAAATATTTAGATTTCGGCATTAAATAACCCATAGAGGTTGATCTCTCGCTAAACAAAACCAACCTATTATAAGTTTATTATTTTAACACACATTCGTACTTGTTATAATATAATTCGTTAAATATTCTCTGTACATAAGGTTTAGGCTATTGCCGTAGCGCTTCTATAGGCGTTACGACGGTAACGTAAGCATGAAGACTGACTCCAGTACGACCGGCATTTATCCAATCCTCCCCACAAGGAAGGATGTTGGGTGATTTCGAGCCCCTTATATATTCCATGTAGTGTAGTCCTGGGAATGACACTAAATTTCATCCGGCAGCAAGGCCTCTGGTCGGAAGATTGGAGGTTTTGAGATGGGTAGAACTACCTTCTAATTCCTAGGGTGGTAGCACCTGTTAGGGTTCCAGCTCTTGGCAAATAGTCAACCCACAAACAAAAACAAAACACTATGAAAGTATGAAAATATATTTTTATAGTAAAAATTACCAGCAATATATTTTTATATAAAAGATTAGCAACGATACATATTTGTAGTAAAATTAACAAATAATACATTTTTAAAGAAGAATAACTAACAATAGATTTTATAGCAAAAATGACCAACAATACATAAAATTATGTTCAAAATATTTAGATTTCGGCATTAAATAACCCATAGAGGTGTTGAGATGCCGCTAAGCAAAATCAAATCAAAAATTCACTGGATTGAATCATATTCATCCCTTTGCATCCCATTAGTAAGAAGGATGTTCCATTCAGGAAGCATCTTCCTAAGAACCAATTACTAACAGTACATTTTTAAAAAAATTATCAGTAGCTGAAGGCATAAAACTATGTTCAAAATATTTAGATTTCGGCATTAAATAACCCATAGAGGTGTTGATATGCCGCTAAACAAAACCAACCAACCAACCTATTATAATTTTCTTATTTTAACACACATTCGTACTTGTTATAATATAACTCGTTAAATATTCTCTGTACATAAGGTTTAGGCTATTGCCGTAACGCTTGTATAGGCGTTATGTCAGTGACGTAAGCATGAAGACTGACTCCAGTACGAGTGGCATTTATCCAATCTTCCCCACAAGGAAAGATGTGGCACAAGGCAAGTTTTTAAGTTGGGCGTATCCGAGCCCCTTATAGATTCTATGTAGTGTAGTCCCGGGTATGACAATAAACTGCATCCGGCAGCAAGGTCTCTGATCGGAAGATTGGAAGTTTTGTGGAAGGTAGAACTACCTCTTAATTACTGTTGTTCCCAGGGTGGTAGCACCTGTTAGGGTCCCAGCTATTGGCAAACCCACAAACAAAAACAAAACACTATGAAAGTATGAAAATATATTTTTATAGTCAAAAACACCAGCAATATATTTGCATATATATAAAAAAAAATTACCAATGTTACATATTTGTAGTAAAATTAGTAATACATTTTTATATTTACCAACAATAAATTTTATCGCAAAATGAGCAACAATACATTTTATCTGTAGTTGAAGGCATAAAACTATGTTCAAAATATTTAGATTTCGGCATTAAATAACCCATAGAGGTGTTGATATGCCGTCCAACAAAATCAGCCAACTATCCAAGTCTCGAGAGAGTGCAAAAGCGCTGACGCGGACATGTGGATGATTAATTATTCTCGAC